CAAGAATGTGAAATTAGAACAGATGGAATGCAGATGACTTGCTTTTAGCGCTAAAGTCGTAACGAATCAGTCGGAAGAGGATGACCGTGGTCTTTTCAGTCACATAAAATAGTCTTTTTAGCGAGAAGAAAACCGAGGTCTTTTACACCAAGAGGGTTTTATCCGCTTAACCTATTTATAGCGCCCCTTCTGTACAACTTTTTATTGAAGATTTTACAGTATTGTTATACCTTAGATTGAAGGCAAGGGCGATTATGCCAAAATCGCTGTACGCTGAATTAATTCCATTCGTACTGCGCAGCAGTTCTTTTTGAAGTAGCGCTGAAATTAGACGCAGCGCTGCGTATAGAGCTTTGAATGTTGGATTTTGGAGGGTAGCTGTGCTTACGCGTATACTCGTTATGTTAGGATCACTTTTTAGGGGAAAAGAGAAACCTCAAAGCATGGCGCTTGAAAAGCAGATCATGATCTTTTCAAAAGATCATTCAGTTCTTGAAAAAAAACGATAAGAAAATTGTATTCGGGAAGATTGTCAAAAAAGCCACTCTAAGTTCAGTTTTTAAATTTCATTCCAACTGGAATGTTACAGGATATGCTGGAAATACTGGTGCAGATATCATAGTAACAAGCGCTTTCACAGGACCACCAAATATACAATATCCAAGCGAAACTACCAATTGTTATAATTATGACGCCATTGCAACCAATAAGCATTACATATATCCAGGATATGATTAACAAAAATCAGTTTAACTTCCGTCCAGTATGACAAAAATGGTCTTTCGATTTGGATTCACGCTCTTCGCTCTTTCCAATCACCGTTACTTCTGTAGTATGAACTTAGACCCTAAGGTTCAAAGGGACCAAACTTTGAGTAAAAATTAAAGGGTGGAAGTATGACTAGTGCAAGCATTGTCAAATAGCGGAAATCTATAATATCGAATGTAGATTAAAGTTGCTTGTTTCTTATTTTTTTTACATTTTGTGATTAATCAAAGTAGCGAATAGAAATTTTTCTAGATTGCTTTAATACGATTATAGCTCATCTCTTCATACACTCAGATAGAACTGAACACTTCTGCCAGAATCAAGCAATAAACTGTGGAAAACGAAAAGTTCTTGATGAATTTTGATGAAGACGACGCATAAAATCGAGTTCAGAAGTCTGAATACTTTTGTATTTCTTAGGAAAGTTGTACTAAAAAATAAAGCCCAAATTAATTTTGTTTGATGTTTGTAAGTATGTGAATTGGTTAAGCTATGATAAAAATCGGAACATTTAAGGAAGATGAGTGAATCCTTTCAACCATTTTCTTAATATAGCATTCATTTTTTAACCCACAATCAAAGAAAATCTGTACTCATAATTCAGCTAAACTTCTGGATCTACCAGCCATACCAGTTTGATTAATTTATGCCTATTAGAAAATTATGATGAGAGTGCAGGGTGCACCATTCGAGGGATACAAGAAAAAAGTGCTATCGGTCTAATTCTTGCCCTAAATTGGAATGGATAAAAAAATCTTTTTTATTCTTCTCTAGTGCAGTTCAGCGTGCTACTTACATCAGATGTTCTACTGACTCTCTCTCATACCTAAGCTGTAATTTTTTTAGGGAGCAAAGCAGTTTTTTAAGAACCCTTAGCTTAGCTTAGCTTAGATGGCCTGTTTGTCGTGCAGGCCACAGCATTGATACCATCCGTTTCTGTCTCTCTCAGCGTCACCCATGATATTGGTATTGTATTGCGGTAACGACGTTCGCGAGATCCAGATCCATTATTCTTACTAGCTGACATTTCAGTTGATACATCCGTGCAACGAATACGTCGGCCCATCTAGTCGACCCTCGGGGACGTTTTGCTTCGCGAGAGATCCATTCTAAAATTCTCAGTGTCCCTCTGTCGTCTGTCCCTCTTATTGATCTCATATCTGAACTGCGAAGTCCGACGAGATGTTGAGGCGTCGGTTGTGGGTGAACTGAATCGAACACGTAGGCCTGCAGCTCTGGGTCCATAAGCTGGTAGGTGGCTTCTTTTAGAAACCCGAAAGCGGCCTAAGCTGTTCTTCTCCCGTTGGGTTGTTCTTCCAAATCGTTCTCCATGTTCATCGAGCGCCTGAGGTCGTAAGAAGGCGTCTCCGCAATTAGAAAGCCTCCTACTATCATTTCTTGATCCTCGCAAAAGGCATTCTTTGTAAACTGAGTCTTCCTCCGGTTAATTTGCAGTCCCATCCGCTTTCCTACTTCGTTTATTTCTTTCCACTTCGTCTCAGCTTCAGTGATACTTTTTGAGAAGAGAACAATGTCGTCCGCAAAACGAAGGTTCGAGAGAAATCTTCAATCAACTCGTATACCTCTCTCGTTCCAATCCAGCGATTTCATCACCCACTGCAATATGGCGATAAACAGCTTTGGCGACACTGGATCGCCTTGTTGAACCCCCTTCGAGATTGGTATGTTAAGGGGACGATGGAAAAGTGTACCGTTGCAGAGCAGCTCATGTAGCAGTTGTCCAATGTCCTCACGTAAGATGGGTCCACCCCTTGGTCACGAGCGCTGACAGTATGGCATTAGTCTCGACGCTGTCAAAAGCTTTCTCATAGTCGACGAAGGATAAAACGATATATTACAAACTTCGATAATCATCGCTACCGTTTGAATGTGATCTACGCAGCTAAATACTTACGAAAGTCAGCTTGTTATACAGATTGGGCCTCATCCAGCGTCCTTAATATGCGCGTGACAATGATCTTCGTGAAAAGCTTATAAAGCACGCTCAAAAAGCATA